TTTTGTATTTTAGTAGAGATGGGATTTCACCATGTTGGCCAGGCTAGTCTTGAACTCCTGACCTCAGATGATCCTCCTGCCTCAGTGTCCCAAAGTGCTGGGATTATAGGCTGAGCCACCACCCCCAGCCTGGGTTTCATTTCTATGTGTGACCCCTTCTGGGCTAGTATCTCCCCACAATGTCCTAATCCTATCAAGTTTCAACACACTGAAGCCTAACATTTGCCTTTTCCTTAAGACTTTGTAACAAGTCCCCTGCATGTGTTGGTGACAGCCTCTGCTTTCCAGGGCCCTATAGATCTTCTCCCTGAGTCTCATGATTTCACTGTTAGCACCTTTGGAATTGGCCTGATCATCCTTTGGCCTGTTCAGAAAGGATGGGACTGGAAGTTTTCTTCCTACTCGAAAATTCCAAGTGCTTTCCAACCCTGTTGATTTGGTTTAGGTGTGTGTCCAAGTCTCAACCCCCAATGTTGATGGTGGGCCTAGTGGAGATGTTTGGGTGATAGGGGTGAATCCTTCATGAATGGCTTGTTGCTGTCCTCATGGTAAGGAGTGCATTCTCACTCTGTTAGTTCACTTTATTAGTCCACGTGAAATCTGTTTGTCTAAAAGAGTCGGGGGCCTCCCCTCTCTCTTGCTCCCTTTCTTGGCATGTCACTTGCTGGTTCGCATTCACCTTCTGCCATGATTTCAAGCTTCTGGAGGCCTCATCAGGAGCAGATGCTGGCACTATGCTTCATGTACAGCCTGTAGAACCATGAGTCAAAGAAACGTCTTTTCTTTATAAATTACCCAGTCTTGAATATTTCTTTATAGCCATGCAAAGGGATGAATACACCTGTCTATTCCAAATCCAGCTACCATCACTTTTCAGCATGAGAACATCTTCTTGAACCATCTTGAGTGATATCACTATTAAATGATTCATTGTACTTTTGGGCCTCCCTGACCCCCTCCCCACATATATCTCTGGTTTTGTGACTGGATGCTTCAAGACCTGTCTGGAAATCCTTTCTGTTGAAGTCAGTCCTCACCAAAGAGAGAGAACATTATGGCATTCCAAATACGAAGCTTGGGTAAGTGAACTAGCTCTTCTGAGGAACCAAAGCTTCTGGATTCTGCTTTTGTAACTGCCTGAGCTGCCTGACTGTTCTTTGGCTGCCCCAGTGTAGGAGGCGGCTTTTGGGACTCTCCTCCCTCGGTCTGGTTCAAGGCCACAGCCTGTAGTAACCCTGTTCTTGGCTGGCCTTCACCTGGGCTCTAATGAGAAGTTCTACCTGCTAATGTATACTTGTTTTCTGGCAGGATTTGACACCAGTGGCTGCCCATGCATGACTGCTCCTTCCATCCATAGCTGAGGGCTGGCTCTGAGGATCTCCTGTGCATTCCTGGTTCAGCAATGCCTGCCTTCCAGCTGCCTCACATCTCTCTGAGTCTATTCTGTTTTCCAAATCCCAAAGGCATAGCTGACTTTGCTTTTTTGACAGCACATGAAATCTCCATATTTACTAGTTCTTTCTTGTAGCTAACCTAAATTCCTCCTATGGGCTTTAAACAAACTTCTTGCAGTTTTGAACATGGAAACAGAGATCATCTATAAGGGAATACCCTCCTTCATTTCTTCATAATCCTTAAGAAGAACCTCATGTTACAAGAGTTCTGTGCATGTCTACCTGGGGTTTTCACCCTGAGCTGGTGATACTAATCAGCCCTGACCACCTTTCCAGGAAACTACGCTCCACCTCAGAAGCTGGGGTGATTAGTGTCTTCCTAGCGTATCAGCATGTTGGTGTTGCAAATATGGAGTGTTTTTTCCCAAAGTTCTATCTGCCTTCCAATCTGCAAGATGTGAGCAAATATTTTGGTGACAATTTATATCCAACTGAGGGTGTAAAGGCATCAGGTACCCCAAGACAAAAAATTGCCTCCCAAGAAGAAAATGCTACAGGCTTTGGCAGGGCCCTGGCTCTCCTTGAGACAGTAGTGATCATTAAGAACAACTGCTAACACTTGTTATGCACTTACTATATGCCCAACACTGTCCTAAGTCATTCATCTTTCATGGTGATGCTACAAGGTAGACACCACTATTATCTCCAGTTCACAGATGAGCAAACTGAAACTCTCAGAGGCCCAGAAACTCACCCTAGAGCTCACAGATACTAAGTACAGGAGCAGGAATTAAACTCAGTCAGTCTGGCCCTAGAATTTGCCCTCTTCTCAACAAAGCATAAAGTCTGGCCGCCATCCACGTGTACAGTGTGTGTGAACATAGAATAGCTGTTTAGTTACAGCAGTGACCTGGGAAGACTGCCTCTGTCATCTTGGATGCTGTGTGCCAGACCTCAAAATGCGCTGTACTTGGGTGGCTGCAAGAGTCCGCAGAGAGGATGTGTGCATGAGTGTCGTGTCATGGGAATCCAGCAGCTCTGATCTGGGAGAACAACATCCTGTGTTGAAGAGCAGATGGAAAGGCAGCAGCCTGGAGGATGTGAGCAGAACAGCTTCCTGTGTGCAACCAGCAAGCCTCCAAAAAGGTTAGCAAGGAAACATGCTCCAGGATGTCTGCGTCTTCTCCTGAGGTGTAACGTGCCTGAGCAAGGTGTCTGCTGGGCTTCTTGAAATTTCTCCTTTGCCTTGCCTGCTGATCTTGCTTTCTGACCAGATGTCAAGACAAACAACTTGGTAAGCTTTGTCCAACTCTGACTCCAACTCCTCCTCCCCTTCCCTCCCTCCCTCCCGTCCATTCCCCTTTCTCCTCTTCCTCCTCCTCCTCTTCTTCCTCTCCTTCTCCTTCTCCTTCTTTGACAGGCCTCACTCTATTACCCAGGCTGGAGTGCAGTAGTGTGACTGCAGCTCACCACAGCCTCAACCTCTTGTGCTCAGGTGATCCTCCTGCCTCAGCCTCTTAAGTAGCTGGGACCACAGGCCTGTGCTACCATGCCTGGCTAGTGTGTGTGTGTGTGTGTGTGCATGTGTGTGTGTGTGTGTGTGTGTGTGTATTTTTTGTAGAGTTGGGGTTTCACCGTGTTGCCTAGGCTGGTCTTGAACTCCTGGGCTCATCTGCCTTGGTGCCCTAAAGTGCTGGGATTACAGGTGTGAGCCACTGCACCTGGCCAGCTTTGTCTGACTTCTAAGCTCACCCTGCCAGAAGACCCCCACTTGTTATGTAACCCAGGAGAAATCACTTCACTTCTCAGGGCCAAATCACCTTGAAAAAAGTATTGTGGCAACTACCCTGTTTATAGCACAGGGTTATTCCAACCATCAAGTGGGATAACGAATACAAAAGACTTTGACAATTGTAAGAAAGCATATGAATTAAAGGTAATAATTTTATTAGTTATAAAATACCCATGTCCTGCTTCACCCTGGCTTAATCCCAGTTTTTCTACTTTTTCCTGCCTTAAGATTGGCTTGATATCCTAGCAGAATGTTCTATAGCAAACTTTTTCTGTAATGGGCCAAACAGTAAATATTTTCAACTTTTTGAATTGTAGGGCCTCTCTTCAACTATTCAACTTCACCACTGGAGTGTGAAAACTGTCATAGAAAAAATGGCAATGAATGGGCAAGGCTGTGTTCCAATAAAGTTTTATTTGTAAAAACAGGTGGCTGGACAAATTGACTAGTATTTTATTGACACCTGTTCAATAGCAGCCAATTAAAACCATTTATGAATGCTAACATTCTGATTCCTGTCTCCTTGCCCAATACTTGTTATACAGATTTTTTGCCTCCATTTGTGTGTAGATGGGTGAACTTTGCTATGGCTCCAAACCTAGATGTGAACAATTTCTTAAATTTATTTCACTCTACTATTTGGACATTATATTACATTGACAGACTTGAAGTAAGTGTCATGATGGTCTCCAAGAACAGCCAATATTGATTCTAACTTAACTGTAAAACATAGTGGGGAGAAGCACAAGGTCCACCTCTTTGGCTACTTGTAGTATATCATGCTTTGCCATTTTACACTGACAGTTACTTTATATGGGTGGCCACATGTAGGGAGGCATGCTGTGAGTGCTTGATAACTGAATTTGCGGTCTGCATTTATTCTGTACAATGTTCATGCTTCCTAAATTCAAGACAAAGGCTTGTAAGTTCAGATTCCTCAATTTTCTAGTCAAGTGCTAAAGAAAGATTTCTTGATTTACCAACTCTAATTTCTAAGAACCCTTTAAAAAGCATTTTTTATGATTTCAGTAAAAGTTGCTTTATACCATGATGTCACCCATCTGTGCTTCTATATTATAAAAGAATCTTAAAATTATTTAGGACATGCTTCATTATGTTATAAAATTGTCAGTGCCAAGAGGAACTTTTTTGGGTTTTTATTGCAAAACACTCCCTTACATAGAAGGCTGAGCGACTTATCTGAACCAACAGTGGATTTAGAAGCAGTTTGAAAAGTTGTACAAAAATGTGTTAGACTGCCAGGCTGGGATGGAGGCTGGAGTTTTGTAGTCACAGTTTTTCCATGTGCCATTTTAAGAATTATCTTGGCTCTCAGTGCAAGTTAAAATTTTATATTTGAGAGTAGAATCCTGAAGTAAAAATAAGCTATTTCTTAATAGGGTGGTCTCCAGTGATATTATTGAAAGTAATTTAAAGCATTAAAGGATGGCAACCTAAAAACACTGGGTAACTTAGAAGTTATTCTTATGACTTATTAGTAATAATAGTAATATGCATTCAGATGTATCCATGAAGTTTTAAATACTTGTGAGTCTAATGGGCATGACCTCCTACTTTAAAATGCAAGTGAGGCAGTGATGGAGTCCCCTCCCTCTCTTTAAAGGATCCCAGTGAGACTTACATAGTTCTGAGACAGAAAACAAACAGATAAAACTCATGAAGAGGCCGGGCACAGTAGCTCATGCCTGCAATACCAGAACTTTGGGAGCGGGATCACTTGGGCCTAGGAGTTGGAGAACAGCCTGGGCAACATAGTGAGATCCCATTTCTACAAAAAAATACAAAACGTATTCCCAAGAAGTAGTCCCAGCTACTTGGGAGGCTGAGGTGGGAGGAATGCTTGAATCCAGGAGGCCGAGGTTGCAGTGAGCCAGGAATGCACCACTGCACTCCAGCCTGGATGACAAAGCAAGACTCCATCTCAAAAACAAAACAAAGTAACAAAACTATGAAGACTTAAAGGAGTTAAGTAACACTGCAATGATTATTTGGCAATCAAATGAGTTTATCAATTCTTTGACTGTAACTTGTAAGAGTGATGGGGTTTCATTTAGTTTTCTTCCTCAACTTCTTAGTTATTATAAAGCATCCAACACATTGGATTTTCCAGGTTACTAAAAGCCAAATATTAAAAAAAGAAGGTTATTTCATGAATTGTAGGCACCTGTGGAAACGTAGGATGACATGTAGTTCAACATACGTCTGCTAATTTTCTGAGCTACCTACAGAAATCCTTTGTTGTATCCAAGGTTCTGATTTAACGGCAGTGGGAGGTATGAGAAACCATGAGCAAAAATGAATAAACCTAAGAATGTGTTTAGCTTCTAGGACAATTCTACATGTTAATTAACTTTTGATGAAGGATGAGGACAAAGTAAGTCCATTAAACATTTTGAAAATCATGTGATCATCAACAAAGGAAACACAAATGTTTTTAAATGTGTTTAAAGATTCCATTTCCATTTTCCCTCTTTACTCAAACTACATAAATTTTACACATAAGTGATAAAGAAATCAGACACATGCACACAAATAGTGAAATTAAGAAATGGCTTTTTGAAAGTGAAATTGCACAGCTTTAAAAATTATTTAAGGCCAAGAAACGTATAAAAAGATGCTCAGCAGCCGGGCATAGTGGCTCGTGCCTGTAATTCCAGCACTTTGGGAGGCCATGGTGGGCGGATCATTTGACTCCTGGAGTTTGAGATAAGCCTGGGCAACATGGTAAAACCCTGTCTCTATGAAAAATACAAAAATAGCTGGATGTGGTGGCGTGTGCTGTGGTTACAGCTACTTGCGAGGCTGAGGTGGAATGATTACTTTAGCCTGGGAGATCAAGGCTGCAGTGAGCAGTAATTGTGCCACGGCACTCCAGCCTGGGAGACACAGCAAGACTCTGTCTCTAAATAAATAAATAAATGCTCAACATCACTAATCATTAGAGAACTGAAACTCAAAAGCACAATAAGAATCCACATACATGAGAATGGGTATCATAAAAAAAAATAACAAAAAACAAAGGCAACAGAAAATAAGTGTTGATTAGGATGCGAAAAAGTTGGAACCCTTGTGCACTGTTGGTGGGAATATAAAATGGGATAGTGGCTGTGGAAAATGGAATGGTAGTTCCTCAAAGAATTAAACTTAGAATTACCATAAGATCCAGCAATTCCGTTTGCTAGGATATACCCAAAAGAAATGAAAGCAAAGATTCAAACAGATATTTGTACAGCCATGCTTGTAGTGGTATTATTAACAAGATCTAAAAGGTAGAAACAACCTTAGTGTCCATGGATATATGAATAAACAAGATAGATGGATAAATAAAATGTGGCAGAAACACAATAGAATATTCTTCAGCCTTAAAAAGGAAGGAAAGTCTGACATGTGCTACAATGTAAATGAAGCTTGAGGACCTTATACTATGTGAAAAAAGCCAGTCACCAAGGGACAAATACTGTATGATCCTATTTATGTGAGGTTCCTATAGTTACCAAATTCATACAGACATAAATTAGAATGGTGGCTGTCAGGTACTAGGGAAGGGAGAAATGGGGAGTTCATGTTTAATGGGTACAAAGTTTCAGTTGAGGAAGATGAAGAAGTGTCAGAGACAGACGGTGAGTATGGTTGCATAACTGTATTAGTCCATTTTCACACCGCTACAAAGAACTGCCCGAATCTGGGTAATTTATAAAGGAAAGAGGTTTAATTGACTCACAGTTGCACACGGATGAGGAGGCCTCAGGAACTTACAATCATGGTAGAAGGCGAAGGGGAAGCCAGGCACTTCTCACGTGGTGGCAGGAGACACAGAGCGAAGGGGGAAGTGCCACTTTTAAACCATTAAATCTCATGAGAACTCCCTCATTATGATGAAAACATCATGCAGGAAATCACCCCCATGATCGAATCACCTCCCGTCAGGTCCCTCCCTTGACATGTGGGGATTAAAATTTGAGATGAGATTTGGGTGAGGACACAGAGTGAAACCGTATTAACAACAATGTGAACAGACATGATGCCACAGAACTGCACACTTTAAAATGCTCAAAATGATACATTTTATGTTATGCCTATTTTGTCACAATATAAATTATTTGAATTCATATTTTCATGTAGTTGGTGTTTGAACTTCTTATGAAATGAGGGTTAGACAATGGTCCACTCTCTCCCTCTAGCTTTCTGCAGCCTGGGCAATGACTAGATGCAAGCTGTGCTTTCACAAGGCAGGTTTAAGAAGATGACCAGAGTTACTCTGTACCCAGAAGAGGGACGTGGTTTTCTCTCTGAGGCCTAACCATGGCTGCCCAGCAGATCCACCATGTTCCCTTGCATTGTCACACTGCCACACTGCAACACAGAGATGATATAACATGCCTGTGTAAGGGAACTTAAAACTTCTCTCTCTCTCCGCTTTAATGAAGACAAATGCAAATGACCACTCTACGTATCATGGACAAGGCTAGAGATCAATGGTC